GAGAATAAAAGAATATTTAGAAGGGGTTTCAAAATAAAAAGAGCCGCCCATTAATGGCAATATGGCAAATGGATACTATAAAAAAATTACCTTCCTACAAAACAAAAAACAGTAAGTTTTATGGCTAAGAAACTGATTTGGACAAGCAGCTTGTAGGGCAGGAGAACTTAAAACTCCTAAGATAAGGATAACAACCTGAAAGGTTCTGTGTGAAGAAAAATGCAGCTACTATTTCGAAAAAAACAAACCCAAATAAGACTCCAGTTTCCTTTCATATTAAGATCAATTAAATATATGCTAACAGTCAAAGAGTACCCAAAACATAGGAAATAAGCCACTATGGGATTGAGTCATCAGATTTAGACAGCCCCTAAAGACTTCCCATATTGGAAATATCTAAGATTGAATATAATTATTTAATGTCTAAAAAAAATGAATCACAGAGATAAGCAAATAATTAAAACTATCAAAAGTTTAATATTAAAAAAAAAAAAAAAAAAACAGGCTGGGCATGGTGGCTCCTACCTGTAATCCCAGCACTTTGGGAGGCCGAGGTAGGTGGATCACTTGTGGTCAGGAGTTAGACCAGCCTGGCCAACATGGTGAAATCCCATCTCTACTAAAAATACAAAGATTAGCCAGGCACAGTGGTGCATGTCTGTAATCCTAGCTACTCAGAGGCTGAGGCAGGAAAATTGCTTAAACCCTGGAGGTAGAGGTTGCAACGTGCTGAGATTGTGCCACTGCACTCCAGCCTGGGTGACAGAGAAAGACATTGTCTCAAAAAAAAAAAAACAAAAAAACAAAACAAAAAAAAACCCCAAGAGACAAGAAACCAAACAGAACTTTCAGAAATGAAAAATTGCTGAAATTAGAAGGTCAATGGAGCCAGAAACAGCGGTTCATGCCTGTAATCCCAGCACTTTGGGAGACCAAGGCAGGAGGATTGCTTTGAGGCCAGGAGTTCGAGACCAGCCTGGGCAACATAGTGAGATGCTGTCTCTACAGAAAAATTTTTAAATCAGCCATGTACAGTGGTGTGGGTCTGCAGTCCCAGCTACTTGGGAGGCTGAGGTGGGAGGATCTTTTGAGTTCAGGAGTCTGAGGCTGCAGGGAGCCATAATCATGCCACTGCACTGCAGCATGGGTGACATAGTGAGACCCTGTCTCAAAAAACAAATTTAAAAAAAGGCAATGGATAAGTTAAACAGATGATTAGATGCAGAAGAAAGAATTAGAAGACAGATTTTTGTATTACCTAGACTGCATCACAGCAAACAGAGAAGATAAAAAACATGACAAAGAGACTTAAAAATAGGAAAAATAGAAAGTATAGTATGCATATAAGTGAAGTCTCAGAAGAATAAAAAAGAGAAAATGGAGGAGAGACAATACAGATGCTCTTAGACTTACAACAGAGTTATTATCCTGATAAACACACTGTGAGTTGAAAATACATTAAGTGGAAACTATCAAGTTGAAAGTGCATTTTTGACTTACAGCATTTTCAAATTACAACGCATTTATCCAGATGTAACACCATCACAGGTTGAGAGGTGTACTAAATATGTATCATTTTCACACCATCATAAAGTTGAAAAATCATAAGTTGAATTAATGTAAGAATTAATACCATCAGTATTTGAAGAGACAATGACTGGCAATTTTTCAAAACTAAAGATATGAATATACAGATAAAGGAAGTCTTACTTTTAAGTACTCTAAGATAAATAAAAAGAAACCCATCCTCAATGTAATGAACATGCAAAATTCTAAAGAGGAAAAGGAAAATGCAGCTAGAGAGGTAAGACGGACCATAAAAACACCCCGAGCCTAGGTAATAAAAATATAAATTAAAAAAAGAGAGATAAGACAGACTCCCTACAGAGTACTGAAATTAGACATTTAGCAGCCTTCTTTTTTTTTTTTTTTTTTTAATTGTACTTAGGGCTCTGGGGTACCTATGCACACCCTGCATCCTGCAGAACTGTTGCATAGGTACATACATGCCATGGTGGTTTGCTGTCCCCCACACCCCTCACCTACATCAGGTGTTATCCCTCCCTAACCTCCATGCCCTCCCGTCCCTCCCCTCCCCTCCACCCTGCAACCTAGCCCAGTGAGTATTGTTCTTTTCTCTGTGCCCAAGTGTTCTCATCGTTCATCACCCGCCTATGAGTGAAAACATGCGGCGTTTGGTTTTCTGTTCTTATGTCAGTTTGCTGAGAATGATGGTTTCTAGATTCATCCATGTCCCGACAAAGGACAGGAACTCGTCGTTTTTATGGCTCCTCAGCGGCCTTCTTAATAGCAACATGGTAGCAGAAGTCACAGGAATAATATTGAAGGTTTTTAAAAAAGTAATTATTGGCTGGGTGTAGTGGCTCATGCCTGTAATCCTAGCATTTTGGGAAGCCAAGGAGAGTGAATCGCTTGAGCCCACAAGTTTGAGACCATCCTGGGCAACATGGCGAAACCCTGTCTCAAAAAAGAAAAAAAAAGGAAAAATAACTATCAATAAATAACTATCAATAAATAATTGCATATGATCCAAACTACTTTTTTCTACTGCCTTACTTTCAGAATAACAAAAAAAAAAACCCCACAAAAAAACAAAAAACAAACAAAAAACACAAAACCATATTTTTCACAAAACAGAAAGGAAGATACCTTAAGATTTTAAAAAACTGAAAGCTGGCTGGGCACGGTGGCTCACCCTGTACACCCTGTAATCCTAACGCCTTCGGAGGCCGAGGGAAGTGGACCACTTGAGGCCAGGAGTTCAAGACCATCCTGACCAACATGGCAAAACCCTGTCTCTACTAAAAATAAAAAAATAAAATATTAGCCAGGTGTGGTGGCACATATCTGTAACCACAGCTACTCAGGTGGCTAAGGCATGAAAATCGCTTGAACCCAGGAAGTGGAGGTTGCAGTGAGCCAAGATCGTGCCAGGGGGACAGGGAAAGACTCTGTCTCAAAAAAAAACAAAAACAAACAAACAAAAAAAACTATAATAATAAATAGAAAACAAAAAACTGAGAGTTTACAATCAATGTATTGCACATGAAAGAAATTTCTTTTATATATATATATATATATATTTTTTTTTTTATTGCACTTTAGGTTCTGGGGCACATGTGCAGAATGTGCAGGATTGTTGCATAGGTACATACATGGCAATGTGGTTTGCTACCTCCATCCCCCCATCACCTATATCTGGCATTTCTCCCCATGTTATCCCTCCCCAACCTCCCTACACTCTGCTGTCCCTCCCTTAGTCCCCCCCAACAGACCCTATATGATGCTCCCCTCCCTCTGTCCATGTGTTCTCATTGTTCAACACCCACCTATAAGTGAGAACATGTGGTGTTTGATTTTCTGTTCTTGTGTCAGTTTGCTGAGAATGATGGCTTCCAGATTCATCCATGTCCCTACAAAGGACACGAATTCATCCTTTTTTATGGCTGCATAGTATTCCGTGGTGTATATGTGCCACATTTATGATACACTTCATATCTGATAGCACACAACAGGGTTACTACAGTCAATAATTTAATTATATTTAAAAAGTACTAGAAGAGTATAATTTGATTGTTTGTAACACAAAGGATAAATGCTTGAGGGGATGGATACCCCATTTTGCATGATATGATTACTACACATTGCATGTCAGTATCAAAACATTTCATGTATCACATAAATATCTACAATTACTATGTACCCATAGCAAAACAAGATCTAAAAAAATTTTTTTTAAAAAAGGAACAGTCGGCCAGGTGCAGTGGTTCACACCTGTATTCCTAGCACTTCGGGAGACCAAGGTGGGTGGATCACCTGAGGTCAGGAGCTCGAAACCAGCCTGCCCAACAGGGTGAAACCCCATCTCTACTAAAAATACAAAAACTAGTCTGGCATGGTAGCACACGCCTGTAATTCCAGTAACTCAGGAGGCTGAGGCAGGAGAATCACTTAGACTTGGGAGACAGATTGCAGTGAGCCAAGATTGCGCCACTGCACTCCAGCCTGAGCAACTAGAGCAAGACTCTGTCTCAAAAAGCAATAAATAAATAAATAACTAACAGTTATACCATACGAGCACATTATAGAAGGGAGAGAAAAAATATACATCAAGTATAAAATATTTGGTATAGGAATTACCTCTGTATTTCTTACAAGTTAGGTAACTGAATAAAGCACATTACTTCAGCAAAAAAAAGTATATATGTATTTCAAGAAACCAAATATTATAGCAGAAAGAAGTCCTGAGATGCTTGAAAAAATGGTAAGCAAACAAATAACTATAAAAAAATCTAGTCTCATATAAAATAATACTATCAATATTATAATTTTCTATGTGTGTTTTAAGGACTGAAATAAAACACTACAGAACTAAAACATGCCTGTAAATCTAGAAGGTATGATGATAGATAATACATCAGTATATAAAATACAGCAATGTTAATATGCACAATATATCGAAACTTATGAACTGCAACAAAAGAAGTACTCAGAAGGAAATGTAGAGCAATAAATACAACAGAATTGAGAGTCCAGAAATACATACATATGGTTAAATGATTTCTGACCAACCAAGCCAAAAGCATTTGGTGAGGAAAGAATACTATCTTCAACAAATGGTGCCAGTACAACTGAATATCCACATGAAAATAAATGATGTTGAACTCTTACCTCATACTACATGCCAAAAACAAAAAATGGATCAAAGAGCTAAATATAAAAACTAAAATCATGCAACTCTTAGAAGAAAAACATAGGAGTAAATCTTCATGTCCCTGGATTTGGCAATGGTTTCTTAGATATGGCACCAAAAGGACAAGTAACAAAAGAAAAAACAGACAAATTGGACATCATCAAAATAAAAATTTTTGTATAAAGGATACCATGACAAGGGTTAAAAGACCATAGATGAGAGAAGCTATCTGCAAATCACATATCTGATATGGATCTGGAGTACGTCGAGAACTCATACAACTCAACAACAAAAAGACTACAATCCAAAATAATCCAATTATGAAAACGGCAAAGGTAGAGCCCAAAGATAGATCAAGACCCTGTCTAAAAACAAACAAAAAAATTCTATTATGCTATGTGACAAAAGCTAAGCCATATACAAAAGGTCACATGTTATATGATTCTATTTACATAAAATATCCAGAATAGGTAAATCCATAGAGAAAGAAAGTAGATTGGTGGATGCCAGAGGCTTGCTAGCAGATGTAAACAACTAATGGATACAAAATTTTATTTTGGGCTGATAAAGGTGTTTTGAAACTCTACATGGCACTTTTGCAACATTGTGAATACACCAAATGTCACTAAATTGTTCATTTAAAAAAGATTAATTTTAGGTTATATGAATTTCACCTCAATTTAAAAAAATAGTACCACCAAAATGTGTGTGTAAATATACACACATGTGTACATGCAAGCAGGAAAATGTGAATGTGGACTAGATATTTCATATTAAGGAATTTTTCTTGCAATGTTCAGGCATTTCATGAAAAAAGGAAAAAAAAGGAATTTTGGGGACTGGATACAGTGGCTCACACTTATAATCCCAACATTTTGGGAGGCTGAGGTGGGAGGATTACTTGAGGACAGGAACTTGAGATGAGCATGGGAGTTCAAGACCAGCCTGAGCCCCGTTTCTACAAGAAACTTAAAAAAAAACAAATTAGTGGCTGGGTGGGGTGGCTCATGCCTGTAATCCCAGCACTTTGGGAGGCTAACACGGGCAGATCACCAAGGTCAAGAGATCCAGACCATCCTGGCCAATACGGTGAAACCCCGTCTCTACTAAAAATAGAAAAATTAGCTGGGCATGGTGGCATGAACCTGTAGTCCCAACTACTTGGGAGGCTGAGGTAGGAGAATCACTTGAACTTGGGAGGTGGAGGTTGCAGTGAGCTGAGATCATGCCACTGCACTCCAGCCTGGTGACAGAGTGAGACTCATGTTTCAATTAAAAAAAAAAAAAATTAGCTGGGTATGGTGGCACAAGCCTGTAGTCATAGCTATTTGGGAAGCTGAGGCAGGAGGATGGCATGAACCCAGTAGTTTTAGGCTGCAGTAAGCTGTGACTGCATCACTGCACTGCACTACTTGTACAACAGAGTGCAACAAATTCTAAAAACAATTTTTTTGGTGCCTTTAGGTGTGTGAATGGTATGATAATATTAATACTTATAGGTAAAATTATTAGACTGTCCAGTCAGGCTGGACATAGTGACTCATGCCTGTAAGTCAGGCTGAGCATAGTGATTCATGCCTGTAATCCCAGCACTTTTCGAGGCCGAGGTGGGTGAATCGCCGGAGCCCAGGAGTTTGAGACTAGCCTGAGCAACATGACAAGACCCTGTTTCTACTAAAGATCAAAAAAATTAGTTGGGCCTGGTGGTGTGTGCCTGTAGTCCCAGCTTCTTGGCAGGCTGAGGCAAGAGGATCACTTTATCCTGGGAGCTGGGATTGTGCCACTGCACTCCAGTCTCTGTGACAAAGTGAGACCCTGTCTCAAAAAAATAAATAAATACGAAAGTCAGAGAAAAGGGTACAATTGATAGAGAAATAAGTAAAACAAGATTAGTCATATATTCATAATTGTATACAGGCTTCATTTACTATTCTAATCCTATGTGTGTGTGTATATATATGTAGATATAATACATATGCATAAATATATTTTTTATAAATATATTTATAAGATAAAAATATAAATATATTTAAATAGATATATAGAAGTGTATTATATAAGATTATATTATATATAATTATATATTATATATAAATATGATACTATAGAATATATATATGTATATATATATACACACACACACACACACACAAAAAAAAACACACACACACACACACATTTTTTTTTTTTTTTTTGAGACAAGGTCTTACTCTGCCCCCCAGGCTGGGGTGCAGTGGCATGATCTTGTCTCATTACAACCTCCACCTTCCCAGTTCAAGTGATTCTCCCACCTCAGCTTCCCAAGTAGCTGGAACTATAGGTGCACACCACCATGCCTGGCTAACTTTTGTATTGTTTGGTAGAGATGGGGTTTCACCATGTTGGCCAGGCTGGTGTCAAACTCCTGACCTCATGTGATCTGCCCACCTCAGCCTCCCACAGTGCTGGGATTACAGACGTGAGCTACCGTGCCCAGCCTACTCCTGTATAGTTTTGAAATTTCTCTTTAAAAAAAATTTTTTTAGGCCAGGTGCAGTGATTCATGCCTGTTATCCTAGCACTTTGGGACGCCTAGGCAGGCAGACTGCTTGATCCCAGGAGTTTCAGACCAGCCTGGGCAACATGTTGAAGCCCTGCCTCTACAAGGAAAAAAAAAAAAAAAAATCAGCCAGATGCGGTGGTCCTCGCCTGCAGTCTCAGGGACTCAGGTGGCAGGGGTGGGAGGATCGCTTGACCCTGGGAGATCAAGACTGCAGTCGGCTGTAATCATGGCACTGCACTTCAGCTTAGGTGTCAAAGCAAGACCCTGTCTCAAAAAATAATCAAACGGCAACAAGAAAAACCAACTTTCAAAAAAAATGGATAGAATTTAGAGCCAAATTGACAAATGCATTATTATAGTACAAGACCTCATCATAATTATCTCAAGTTAAGCAAGCAAAAGTAAGGAAACAGAAAAAGCTTGATTTACTGGACAAATTTAAAATTCGTTCTGAACAATTAAAGAACACATGTTCTTCTCAAATTCACATGGAACTACAAATACTAGATCTGAACCATAAAGAACATACCATGTATCAAAACTTGTGGGATACAGCTAACGTAAAATTTCAAGGGAAATTTATAGCCTTTAAACTAAGCTTGTCCAACCTGTGGCCTGTGGTGCAGCCCAAAACAGCTTAAAATGCAGCCCAACACAAATTCGTAAACTTTCTTAAAACATTATGAGAAGTTTTTTCTTGCATTTTTTAAACTCATCATCTATCATTAGTGTATTTTATGTATAGCCCAAAATAATTCATCTTTTTCCAGTGTGGCCCAGGGAAGCCAAAAGACTGGACACCCCTGCTTTAAACTTGCATATTAGAAAAGAAAACTGTGTTTCCCATTTGTATAGTGGCGTGTGAATTTAAAAAAAAAAAAAAAAAAAAAAGACTGTGGCCAAAGGATACAAAATTTCAATTAGGAGGAATAAGTTCAAGAGATCTACAGTGCATCATAGTGACTACAGTTAACAGCAATATATTGTAGGCAGGTTATATTAGCAAGATGGCCCACTAGAAGTCGCTAGCGTTCATCTCCTTCATAAAGAAAAGACAATCAGAACAATGAGAAACAACTACATTTTAACAAAAATAAATGAGGGAGAGCATTGGTAAGCACAGAAACTCTGGATGGCCACATGGCCACATAGAGAATGCAAGGATGCATCTGGCCTCCACCACCCAATCCCCCAACTGGGAACAGCCAAGAACCAGGAAGAACTTCTCCCTGCAGCAAGGAGATAAACGAGAGGATTCCAGCAACCAACCCTATCAACAGACCTCACCACTGGGGTTCCCTGCATTCATCACAGGCACCAAGCCCAGCTTAGGAAGCTGTCTGGAGTCTACACTGCTGTGCTGCCCTGAGAGGAAAAACTGACACTGTTTATCAAGCACTGTAGTTCATGTAGCTACTGTGTTATGCCATCTTGGAATCAGAACTATGGCTGGAGTATGTCTTGCTCTGGTGCTGAGTAGCCACAGTTATCCTTTATCCCTGGGGCTAAGCCACAACCGACCCACCCTAACCCAGTGGCCCAACATTCCTAAATTGAGCTGCAAACAGCTGTTATACTCTCGTACAGGGGTGGGGGGAAGCAGAGGTGGAGCCACCCCATCTACCACTCCTATCACCCCCTCAGGCCAGAGCTGAAGCAGTATCCTGCCTCCTAGTGAAACAATACTTTAGCTGCTCAGAGCAGTCATGCCTCTCCAGTGCATAAGGTGAAGCAACTACCCACATTCCAGGAAATGATGCTTGGGTCTCCCCAAACAGTCATGCCCCCCAGGCTTAAGCTGAAGTAGCACATGGGCCAATGGAGAACTGGTGCTGTGGCCAAGTTGAGCAGCTGCCCATCCCAGGGCTGAACTGACAAAGTATCCTGTGTCCTAGGGAAACAGAGCAGTGGCTGAGCTGAGACACCCTGCCCTACAGACCAAACTCCTCTAGAAATCTTCTTTCCTGGAACTAGACTAGACCCCTAGAGTCTAAGCTGCTAAGACACCCTTCTCCACATGGAATGGAGTCATTGCTATGCTGTTCCCTATACCCCCAGGGCCCAAACAACAGTTGTACCACCACTTTGGGATATTTGCTGCTGCAGCAACTAACCTCACAGAGTCTCAGATACTACCAAATCCCACCGTCCCAGGGACTAGAGTTACTACTACACAGTGCTTCATCCCCCCGGGACTTGAGTTATCACCAAGCCCTGCTGGCTTATGTTCCCAAACTGTGGCTGTACCGCAGACTTGACACAGCCTTCCTTTGTCCCTATAGTTGGGCCAGTTCTGTGCCCTGCCCCTCAGAAAAGAATCATAGTTACAACCTGGCTCCCTGGGCCTGAGCTGCTAGAGGGTATCTGAGAGTCACAGATCCTAGCTCTGAGGTCAGTCTACATCCAACTCTGCCACCTAACCTGTAGCCCCAAACTCAGGTGCCACAGTAGGTTTGTGAGACCCTGATATGGTCTGGGTCAGTGTCCCCACCCAAATCTCACATTCAATTGTAATCCCCAATGTTGGAGGTGGAGCCTGGTGGGAGGTGATTGAATCATAGTGGAGGTTTCTCATGGTTTAACATCATCCCCCAGGAGCTCTCCTCAAGATAATGAGATCTGGTTGTTTAAAAGTGTGTGGCACTTCCCCTCGCCCTTACTCTTGCTCCTGCCATGTGAAATGCTGGTTCCCCCTTTGCCTTCCACCGTGATTGAAAGCTTCCTGAAGCTTACCTAGAAGAAGCCACAATGCTTC